GTGGAGTGTAAATAGGCTCATTCTTAGTTCCAGCTGGTCCAGTTGGTTCGTTGGTCGTTGAAGATACTTTATCATGAGACTTTACATCAAGTACAGGAACCGTCTGTAACTGAAGCTCATGGACAGTTCAGTTGCTAATGGACTTACATCATCTCTCTCAATCTCAACTTCTCCTTTGTAGGTCATCTTACGAACCACAGAACTCATTTGGAGTTCTTCCTTGGCCACTTCCTGTATCATTTCCAGTTCTTTCTTTATCGTCTTCTCTCTCCACTCCGCCAGTTCTCTTGATGCCAGCTGCTCAGGACTCATCCTCACCAGCTGCTTAGTGGAGAGCTCACCACACAATATCTTCTTAAATAAACCATAAAATATAATAATAATTATTATTATTATCATTGATTTATTATTATGATTACTTCATTTTTTGTGTCCTTCAAATTGAATAAAAGGCTCCTGCACTTGACACGATATTTTTGATTCGTTTCCTAAAACAATAAAATAACATTAAAATACATTAGACACACAGTACCTGGTTGTGTAGGTTATACAGCTTCAGTTCAATGTCTTTAGATAACTTAAGAATCACTTCATCACTTGCTCTCTCTTCTTCTGGTACCAACTGAGACCTGATAATGGGAGGTGCTAAACAACACCCACTGCCACACCCCTTACCTTGTATGTAGCACCTGTTTCAGAGCCTTTTGGGCGTGGCTCCGAACTGATTCAGTGTTAAACTTACTACCAGCGGATTCATCATCTTTCCTGTCCTCGTCCTGAGACTTACGAGAAGAAGGAACCTTTTTAGAACCAGGCAGGACTACAAGAGAGTAAAGTGGGTGTGGTTTATTCTAATTAGTGCCCACCTTTAGTCGATGGTACTTGGTACATCACCCGGTTCGTACACTTCAAGTTTCCCGTCTGTCACAGCTCGCAAGAATTTTTTTCAAAATATTTTACTTAGAGACTAGCTGAATAACAAAGAACTCCCTTTCAAATAAGGCCAACTGGCTTTATATATGCACAAATTATTAATAATTAGTTAATTAATTAATATACATTAATGGTAATAATCCAGTTTCTATATAGTTCCATGACACTCCTCCCTCCTTTCCCAGCGTCAAGTACTCGTACTTGACGGAGCACGGGATAATGCGTCAGCATTGGCGTTGGCCTTTCCAACTCGATGGACTATAGTAAAATCAAATGGCTGTAGAGCAAGACTCCAACGTGTTAATCTAGATGTCTTGTCCTTCATGTTATTAAGCCAGACAAGTGCCCTGTGGTCTGTTTGTATTTGGAATTGCTTCCTTAATAGATACACCTGGAAAGCCTTTACACCTAGCTTGATGGCTAAGCATTCTTTCTCAATTGTT